AGCAATGAGCCCAGATCTAAATCCCATTGAACACCTGTGGAGAGATCTTAAAATTGCTGTTGGGAAAAGGTGTCCTTCCAATAAGAGAGACCTGGAGCTGTTTGCAAAGGAAGAGTGGTCCAAAATTCCGGGTGAGAGGTGTCAGAAGCTTATTGATGGTTATAGGAAGCGACTGATTTCAGTTATGTTTTCCAAAGGGTGTGCAACCAAATATTAAGTTAAGGGTGCCAATACTTTTGTCCAGCCCATTTTTGGGGTTTTGTGTGACATTATGTCATATTTGCTTTTCTGCCTCTGTTTTATATTTGTTCCAATACATACAAAGGGAATAAACATGTGTATAGCAAAACATGTGTTAATGCAATACCTTTTTTGTGTGAAATACTTGATTTTCAGGAAAAATATCAAGGGTGCCAACAATTTCGGCCATGACTGTATATATAAAGAAGAATGAAATACAGGAGAGAGAGAGAGAGAAAAGTACAGATGAAGGAAAGAGATAGGAGAGAGAAAGAGGACAGAGAAAGAAGAGAGGGGGACAAGAGAGAGAGAAGGCAGATAAAAGAGAAAGATAGGAGAGAGACAAAGACAGAGAAAGAAGGGAGGGGGATAGGAGAGAGAAACATGGGGGAGACATAGAAAGAAGAAAGACAGGTGAGAAGGGCAGAGGAAGGAAGGAAGGAAGGAAGGAAGGAAGGAAGGAAGGAAGGAAGGAAAGGAAGGAAGGAAGGAAGGAAGAAGGAAAGAAAGAAAGAAAAAAGAAAGAAAGAAAGAAAGAAAGAAAAAGAAAGAAAGAAAGAAAAAAAGAAAGAAAGAAAGAAAGAAAGAAAGAAAAAGAAGAGAGAGAGGTAGGGGAGATATATAGATAGAAAAAATTAAGACAGGAGAGAGAGAAGGACAGAAAAAAGAGAGAGGGGTGGGGGAGATGGGGGAAGAGAGACAAACAGAAGGAAAGTGAGATAAAAGAAAGAGTAGATAAGAAGGGGGGGATAGAGAAGAGATAAAGTCAAGATGGGGAGAGAGAAGACAGGACAGGAGAGAAAGACAGAGAAAAAAGAAAGACTAAAAGAATGAACAGAAGACAGGAGAGAAAAGGAAAAGGAGAAGTACAATCTGAGGGAAGAAGAAACGAGGACAGGAGACAGAAGAAGAATATGAGAACAGAGATAGATGAGGGAAGGATAAAAGAGAGAAATGTGGAGAAGGACAGAGAGAAAGAAGAAAGAAGAGCAGCGGTTGAAATGGAAAAAATGTCCCCTCCCTTCCTACACTCCTCAAAGAGAGAAAATGGGGCGAAATCTCCGAGATGGACTCATGCCATAATATAAACTTATTTTTTGTAAACTTATTTATATGATTTTAATTCTTTCTCCAACAATCTAAAACAAAATGAAAGCTTTACTTTATTTAAAAAAAAAATCAGCACAAGGAACATTACTAACAATCAATGTGATGTGTTCCTTGTACTGCTGGCACCTGTTGTAGTTGAAATCTTCAGATTTTGGGCATCTTCTGCAACAAAAACATCACTTTTGGTGAGATACTCCCAAAGGGAAGTCATGTCTAAAGGGATGCAGACTCCACCACTTTCCTCATTAGTGCCCTGATTGATAATTGTAGAATCACTCGCATTCATATTCATTTGGCACATGGACACAGAGAAACACACAGCTATTTTCTCAAAATAACAAAAAGTAGGAATCTGCAATAAAGTTTGTTAAAATCCCTGCAATGCACGTAGATCACCCAAAGGGGAATGTTTTTTTCTCAACAAAAGTGGAGTTATTCTTTAATCAGGAAAACTCTGCATTATGACGACTAGTTGGCACTTACAGCTGTAGTATATAATCATATTGGATAAAATACAGCATGTTTTGTTGCATCTGTATGAAGGTTTGTCACACTTCTACAGCGAATTTGTTATAACTATGGGCAGCACAGTGGCTAAATGGTTAGCACTTCCACCTGGCAGTACTAGGGTTGTTGGTTCAAATCCCAGCCATGGCACCACCTGCCTGGAGTTTGCATGTTCTCCCCTGTGCCTGCGTGGGTTTCTTCCTGGTACTCCGGTTTCCTCCCACACTCCAAAGACATGCTGGTAGGTTAATTGGATCCTGTCTAAATTGTCCCTAGTATGTGTACGTATGAATGTGAGTTAGGGACCTTAGATTGTACGCCCCTTGAGGGTTAGGGACTGATGTGAATGTACAATATATATATGTAAAGCACTGCGTAAATTGAGGGCCCTATATAAGTACCTGAAATAAATAATTAGACCCTTTGAAATATTTAACCTTCCAGCCAAAATATCCAAATACTTACATTGTTTTACATGGCAACCATTATTATCCTTCCAGAGTAACACTCTCATCTGATTGTAAAGGAGTTTCATGAGTTCTAAGGTCACAGTCACATCTGAGTGTACTTGAAATGCTCATGTGCACGTTTCCGAAATGCACTAAAATGAACATGTGTTTGAGCGCTATTAAGTCATAATGGCACCTCAAACATGTTAAGAAACCAAGCATTTTGGCATGCGACAAAATGTACAAAAAAAGCAAAAACATACTGTTCAGAAACGTGCCAAAGTGCACTCCAAAAAAAAGGTACAGGAGGTACTTTTGCTCATTTTTGGAGAGGAGGGCAGCCCATTCAAGTGAATTGTGCCGCTCCAAAAATGTGCAAAAAAATCACAAAAAACCTGACAGATGCTAGATGTCAATGGAGCCTGAGAGGTTCTTATAGGCACCATCTTCTAGGCCTAAAGGATCATTCATGTCTATTGACCTGTCTATTATCACAATTCCTCTGCCTCTGTTTTTTACACAACTCTATCTATATAAGGTGTGATATACCAAGGGAAGGAAATGAAATGGAAGCGTATTTCTATTGTACCTTTCTTGATGTCACCCATACACTGTTTTTAATTTCAAGCACTAGAATGACGGAAAAAAAAGTAATGCTGCCATAGCAACCAGTCATTTGTTTTACAAATTCCAACCTACGAAACAGAATGGAATTTGGTTGCTGTGCAGCGGAAGTTGTATGTCCTTAAAGTTACCCCTTCTAGTTTACATTGTAGATGATTGTAGCTGTATGAAGATGGTGTGTTGTGCGTTAAAGTGAACCTAACATTGTAAAAGTGCATGCACACTAATAGAGCACCCTCCTAGTCTAGCTAGGGGGAGCTAGTGTTTATTTGTTAGTGAGGAAGCCTGAAGCCTTGCTGAAATAGCCAGAAGGTCAAATTGAGATCAGGAGCTGAGAGGCTCTGCAGGCCAGCCCCTCTGGAATTTCCCCCTGCTCTAGGGCTTTGGAGGAAGATCCTAGATGAAGTGGGTGGATCTGAGGAGTGGCAGGAGTGGATCTGAGGAGTGGCTGGATTGCACTCTTAATGGATCCCAGACAATCGCCAACAGAAGGCATGGGGAGGGGCTGGGACACCCTTAAAAGTGTTGGAGCCTGCTCAGTTGCAGGAGAGTACAGGTGGAAGATAGCAAGGAGAACACTGGAAGGACCCCAGGTGATTATAATGAACTAGACCCTCTCATTCAGAATCAGTTTGCAAAGGACATGGTGAAACAAACAGCTATTTCTTCAAAGCAACAAAAGGTAGACATCAGCTATATTTGTTAAATCCCTGCAATGTACATTGATCACCCAGCAGGGATTGTTTTTTTTCTAAACAAAAGTGGATTTACTCTTTATGTTAGGGAACTACTTGGACAATGCAACATTCTTTGTTTAAAAATATAATGGGTACCTACTTTTTTCCTACAGTCATCTGTCATATTTCTATCTTAAAAATGAGGCGTGCTGTTTAAATTCCAAGCACTGGGTTCCTGGCACAGAGAGACAGGCATTAAAGTGTTACTAAACCCACAACAGTACATTCAGTCTGTATATGCAGGAAAGCATACTTGTTATTCTCACTGTGCAACCTAAGGGGTTAATCCTTCGCATTGTGTAAAAATGATGTTTGATCCTGTCTTCTCTGATCCTCTCCGTCTTCCATTGTCCCCTAAATATCTCCTGATAGAACAGAGGTTTGGAGTCACTCTGCACATGCTCAGTTTGGTGTGTAATGCTAGAGAGGCAATCAGCACTGTCCATACAGAGGTCAGGGGTTCTGTATCCTCCTAAAGAAGAATGAAAACTCCTCCTACAAGCTTTAACCAGTGCTCTGCTGGACACTGATAGAAGTCACAAGACTGCCATATACTGCTGATGAGAAAATGTATTTAGCAGTTTATATTTACTAAAATAATTGCACTTCCATGTTCTGTGTACTGTGGGAGACCAGATATAGTGAACGCAGGGTGCTGGGGTTTAGTAACACTTTAAGTTCTCTGATGCCTAATGTACATCAGGGTTACAAACCATCCCTTCAACTATGAGCTCTTCCATCATGTCTTTATGGGTTCAGGATCATCTCATGCTTGAGACCTCGAATTATACGTGGCTTTTATTCTTTAAGAGTGTTTTATTCAAGTGGGCTGGCACTGGTATGACTGTAGCATTTCTATCTTTCAGGACCTTGCACGTACAGTATATGTGTCACCTAAACAAATGCTGCCATTCAATGTACACTGTGAGAGTAGCCATAGGCTCCTATGAAAAAGTACAGCAACCTTTCTCGACCTTGTTACCCTAAAATTGGGGTCAGCAGCCAGTAGATAGCGATCAACCAGAAGATCTCGTTCAGGTGACTGGTAGACCGCGGTTTGGGCTTGCTGACCCGCTATCCCAGAGCATCAAACAGAGTGAAATGCGGAGGGACTACTTGTAAAGTTGGAGGTGTAGTAGGGAGCAAGAGCCGCATAAGCCATTGCTGTCTCTATTTCCCCTGTGGCTTCTTCTCAGTCCTGAATATGTAACTTATGTATGACATAGACATACAGAATGTATGTAATGTAGGTGCAATGTATAGTCAAAGAAAAAAATGGTAGGAGTGCAGGGCAGTTTTTTGTCATATAAGATTTTACATGTCTCTTTTGCCCAAAAACCCATGACACCTATCCATTGTATTTACCACAAGGCAAACAAGGCATTTGCCTATGGCGGCATTTTTCATGGGGGCCGCACTGCCCCCCCCAGAAGAAAGGACAGAAGAAGGGACACATGTGGTAAGGGGACCAGGTGGGATCTGACAGAGGCTGCGGGCTGCTTGATGGTGTATGCAGAGCCCGATTCTAGTTCCCAGGGATGTCCAGAGCTGTGAAAGTGAGTGTATTTCTCCCTCTCTCGCCAGGAGGGGATGTGTGTTAGTGGAAGGCTCCCTCAGGTGGGGGGCAGGGGTGTTGTTGGTCAATGTCAGGCTGTCTCCCCGGGGGGGGGCCCGCCTATTTTTTGTGTTGCCTAGGGAAGGACAAAACCTAAATACACCAATGCCACTATCCCCATACCCTGACCCCATACTTCTGCTCTAAACAATGCTTTTCCCCCTTTCAGCAACAGACATCTTTTTGGAAGATGAAGACTGGCTTGGAGGAGTAATACAATTTTCTTTCAGCATTCATTCCTTGGTTCTGATTTTAATTCTGTTGTCTAATGATGACACCAATATCTCTCTGCTTTTGATAACCAATTTGAATGGTGATATAAAGCAGAATTCAAATGTCTAATATTAACTGCCACGCTCTTAATTAAATGTTGCTCTGTAGGGATTTCAGAACTTATCTGCCAAGATAACGAAACTCTTCAATTGTGCTGCAGAGAGTTCTGTGCTTAGAGAAAAATAACTTCAGCAACCAATTTAATATTCATTGTTAGATGGCTGAAATAAAAGATGAAGAAATGCTTTTCATGATGGATCTTGAAAAAAAATCAATGTGAAAATAGACATATGCCATAAATAAATAAATAATAAAGGGGCCTGTAGATGCAAAGGGAATCTGTATTCTAGCTGCTTCAGTGTAGGCTGTCACAGTGGTGGGGCCAAGTTATATTGTAGAGAAGATATCGCTGTCTCTCCATTGGACAATGCAATTGGACATGCACACCATGCCTACGTTTTGTTGGCTACCGTCAAAGAAATTCTATAGTTGTCCCCAGAACATTAAAACAGTGGTAATCTTCCAATGGGTAAATTTGGTCACAGGGAAAACTATCTAAAAGGGGAATTCCCTCTCTTTGTGGAAATTTACTCTCACTTATTGTTACTCTCTCCCAAATAGAAAGTGAATGGAAATAAACTGACATGGGTTTTAGCGCTTCCTACTCCTATCAAAAACGGAAAAAATTGTTTTGGGTATTCATACACTTTATCTGTTTTGCTCTTGGGCATTGATTGACACAGGGAGTCTAAAGAGGCCATGGATGCCCCAAATGTGCACATATTATGTTATGTTTTGGTGCCATTTTGGAGGATGCAATGCTAAGAGATGAATAGTTAAATGGTTTTTCCTTCTTTCACCCATTAGCATTACAACTTTACTTCACGTTACTAACAGACATATCAGTCTGGACATCACACCACCTTCTCAAACTGTAAAACTGAGATCATAATATTTCCTCCCCCACAAGCTCTTTCCCCTGACTTCTCTGTCAAGATCAATGACACAACTATCAACCCGTCCCGCATGCCAGGGGGCTAGGTGTAATCCTGGACTTTGGACTCTTCTTTTGGACCCACATCCAATCACTGTCCAAAGCTTGCTAACTCAACTTCTGAAAAATTTCCAAAATACGCCCTACTTAGCTAATGACACCACAAAGATCCTAATTCACTCACTGATCATCTCTCGCCTCGACTACTGCAACTCTCTTCTCATAGATGTACCTTTACATAGGCTGTTCCCTCCTCAGTCCTTCATGAATGCTGCTTGCAGACTTATCCGCCTGACCAACCATTCATTGTCTGCTACTCCTCTCTGCCAATGCCTCCATTGGCTTCCTCTCACCCAACAAATTAAATTCGGAATACTAACAATAACTTACAAAGCCGTCCACAACTCGTCCAAAGCTACATCACCAACCTAGTCTCAAAATACCAACCACATAGTTTCCTTCATTCCTTCCAAGACCTCCTGCTCTCTAGCTCCCTTGTCACCTCCTCCCATGCTTGCCTCCAGGACTCTCCCATCCTATGGAACTCCCAACCCATTCTATCTGACTATCTACTACTCTGTCCACTTTTAGGCGATCCCTGAAATCTCGTGTCTTTATAAAAGTCTGTCTTTCTTCCACCTAACACCTGTATTTTCACTTTCTCCATTAGCTCATCCCCCACAGTTATTACCTCTTGTATCACTTGACCCTCTCTTTTAGATTGTAAGCTCTAATGAGCAGGGCCCTCTCATTCCTCCTGTATTGAATTGTATTGCAACTGTACTGTCTGTGCTGATATTGTAAAGAGCTGCACAAACGGTGCTATATACAGGGGTTGGACAAAAATATGGAAACACTACATGATTTGCAGGTGTGAAAGTGACAACATGTTTCATGTTGAAAGCAGAAATGATGTAACATTTTTTTGCTTTTACTGTGTGGTGAGACACCTAGCTAACAGGTGGGAAGCCTCACTTTCATCATTCACTGCATGTGCTGCTAGTTATACGGAATCATGTCAGAGCTTACTGAGCTTCAAAGAGGGCAAATTGTTGGTACCCGCTTAGCTGGTGCCTCTGTGACTGAAGTTGCCAATTTATTTTCCGTGTCATGAGGTACAGTATCAAATGTTATGATGACATACACAGCTTCTGAGAAAACGTCATCTGATAAGACTAAGCACGGTCGACATGGTCAACTGACCAAAAAGACAAAAGGATTGTGACCCTAAATAAAAAGACAACTGCTGCAAAAGCAGCTCAAAACTCAGTCTTCCAAAGCCTGTGTTCACAAAAACTGTATGAAGGAAACTCCATAAGCAGAACATTCATGGGTGAGCTGGAATTGCCAAACCACTAGTGACCGATATTAATGCTCAGAAGAGGAGAGAATGGTGCAACACCCCATAAATCGTGGGCTATCGATCAATGGAAGACTGTAATATGGTCCAATGAATCGAGCTTCACACTGTTCCCAACGACGACTGGATGTGTTTACATCCCAAGCTTATGACCAGGACTGTCTTGTGCCAACGATAAAGCATCGTGGCAGCACAATCATGGTTTGGGCAGCCATACCTTGGTATTTTGCAGGCACTATCATCACCTTGAAAGGTAGAGTCACTGCCAGCAACTATGTACAATTTTTGCCTGACCATGTGCACTCCATGGTGCAGATGTTGTGTCCAGAAGCCAGCACCATTTACCAAGGTGATAATGCTCCAATTCATACAACTGATGTTGTCAAATTGTAGTTTAATGAACATGCAAATTAAGTCTTGTACCGTCCCTGGGCACCGCAGTCGCCGGACCTCAATACCTTAGAGCCACTATGGTCAATTTTGGAGAACAAGGTTTGAACTCGTTTTCTGCCTCTGGCATCAACTTTTTGCATGAAGAGTGGTATCAGATTCCATTATCCAGAATCTAAGACTTACATTTGTCAAGTCCCAGGAGAATTCAGGCCGTCTTGGATGCCAAAGGCAGTTCAACACCATATTAGGTAACAATTTTGTTTTACCAGGTGCTTCCATAATTTTGTCCAACCCTTGTAAATTCTGTATAATAATAATAATGCTTTACAAAGTTGGAGTCCAGTCATTATCACAGGTCCTCTATATACTCTCACTGTACTATCACCCTTTAAACAAACAGGACTTTAATGGTACACAAATTCAATCTTATAAAATCAACAATTTATTATTTCTTATCCATAAAAGTGATATCCATAAAAACTTATAGGTATATCCTGGGACTGGTAATATTTTATACAACAATTTCTTATATCACATCTACCATATATTTGATCTTTTACATACTAATCACATATTTGAACAACAGATACTGTATCCTTCTTTGAAGACCATGTAAAAGCTCTCCTGAATAAAGTTCACTTCATCAGTTTAAGTATGTGTTAGACATGTAAATGAACAGCCTTATTGTTAAAAAGGCACATGTTAGATTGCTCCACAAAAACCGGAACCTGACAAACAACTGGAGGCCACATAGAATATTTCATAGTGTATTTCCTTAACAATGTCAAATATCTTCATCTGCACTATGCCACTTGCAATTGCACAGGCTTCTATCTCCTAGGTGGCCCCTATTTCACCCTGTATGTGAACCAGGGGTGGACTGACAACTCATGGGGCCCCCGGGCAATAAGGGATCATGGGGCCCCTGTGTCCTTGCCCACACCCAAAAAAACCTATGAAAAAGCCAATGAAAAGGTACCAGGGGCATCTCATGGGGCCCCTTACTGACCCCGGGCCCTCGGGCAGTGCCCGAGTGCTTGAATGGTCAGTCCGCCCCTGATGTGAACATTCAGATAGTAAAAGGAGTTTGGTTGGAATTGCTGTTATCTGAATATGCCCAACAAATATATAATAATAATCACCTGTTGGGATCAGGATCCGAACCCACAACCTCAGCTGCATTGGGCAGTAGCTCTTCTAGCTGAGCCACCTGAGATCAGATGCTGGAGAGTACCCTGGCTGAGCCTTTGAACACTCCTGCCTTGTGCTTTGTTTCTGGTGAAGCTTGAACTCTTTGCTCATCCCTTGAACTTCCTTTAAGTCATGCCTTTGCACTTCCTGTTTGCAAGCTTATTGTGCTCTCTCTAGCCGATATCTTGCTCTTGTCTCTCCTGCTGCAGTCCATGTCTTCACTACTACTCGTTACTAACCTTGGCCTTTTCCTTAACTATGCTTCTGCTTGATCCCAACCTGCAACCACTTGTTACCAACCTTTGGTTTGTTTACTTACTATACTTCTGTTTGGACCCTACCTACTATATCTACTAATGGACCCCGGCTTTCTCACCGTCTGGTGGGGCAATCCTAAGTACTGCAACCTGGTACTAACATGCAGGAAAACACATCTACATCATTAAGACATCTTGTGAATACCAATCAGTGCTTAGACCCTACACCTGGGGAGAGCCAGCATCATCTGCAAGGGTGACCTGCTTGTGTACTTAGCCTGCTGGTCAGTGGGAGCCTCTCTACTGCTATAGCTAGTGGTCTCTGAGCCTGACCTCTGACCATGACACTATACTTGAGAAATGAATGATATCCCATGGCTTCTTCTGGATCAATGTCAGCGTTGTGAGGTGTCCTCATCTTACTGGCAACCAGGCATAATCAGGAGCTTGATAACATTGTGTTTGTCCACCTTTAAAGATCCACTTCTTTCCAATAATCACACATTTAGCATGTGTGTGCTATGCAAAACATTGGGCAACTGACCTTAGCTCTTCTAAGATTAAAATAAGTGAAGCATTGAAGAC